AAAACAGATAAACAACACCGCCTCATCAGATAAGAACGGCTCCCTCGATTTCACGGATTTCAAGCGGGGGCTGGAGGCTCTCAGGTCGCTAAAGTCCTATGAATGAACTTGGCCAGAGGCCGAGATCCCTCAGAAGAAGGGTTTAGTTCACTTTCTTTTGTTTGCCATTATTTTATTTTCAAACAAAGTCTGTAGCTTTGGGCTCTGACAGGCAAAGCCCGGTCCTTAGTGCCGGGATGGCAGGCAGGGTCTCCACCTCTGTCCCCAGTCTCTCCTTCCACTTCCCTCTCCCAGACCCCGCGACAGCACGTAGCCTAGCTGGGCGAAGCTGTCAGGGAGACTGGCGCTCAACTGAACGCAGTCATCGCGTGAAGTGATACCCGAGAAGGCCCTGCCAGTTCATCTGAAAGGACAGAGGAACATGCCATCGCGTTTTGATTGGGTGCAGCCACCTCACCTCACCGTGATACCTACCCAGAGAAGCAGAGTTGGAAGGGGGGGACACAGGCAGAGCTGGTGAACTGCTCCCAAGAGCTGTGCTATTACTATTCTGAGCTCCAAGTCATATTCTATATGGTGCCACACAGCTTTCTCTAGGAGAGCAGAGTCGGTTCTAGGTCACATCTTCCCTGAATGACAGAGGATAGAGGTTCCAGCCCAGGGCTGCATGCGAGGGGTTCCACTGCAGCAAACTACTGGCAAGGCAAAGAGGCTTTGCTACTTGTGGAGGAGACAGCTGGGTAGAGCAAGTCACTGGACTCTAACAAAAACACTCCAGGGCTTTCTTAATCTTGATACATCAGGTCCCAGCATCACCGGCCATTTTTTAACTTGCTATAACATGGGTAAAAATAAAACAACCTAAACAAAACAAGGCAAAACTGTGCACATAGAAAATAGAAGGGAGAGAAAGTAAAGGAGAGGACAGGAGGACAATACCTTAAACATTTTCATCAGAAGAATAGAAAGAAAGAAAGATCCATCAGAGTCACAGGGTGAAGATACACACTCTGGTCAGGAGAGACGAGTCTGAAATTCTCTTAGCCCTTGTGAAGGAAGGAAAACATGCAATCCTGTAGCACTACCACCCCCAAAACAAACCCTTTTCCTTAGAGACATTAAATATTTTTGAACTATTATTTAAAAGTAAGAGGAATTTAGATGTTCTTTTAGCCTTTCTGCTGAGTAGCTTAAGCTCTGAGCATCTCCTGGGTTCCACCAACTGCTCACAGTGCATTGTTACAAAAAAGAGTAGCAATGATTTTTAAAGATAATTAAGTAGAATTAAATATATCTTCAATGGCATATTTTTATTTCTTGCAGGACTCCCCTAATCTTCAAGCAAAATCTAAAATCAACATTTACATTAAATATCCAGCACAGAAAGGAAGTTGGGCATCCCAAACACAATAAATTATGCTTTCTATATTTTCATATAGAAAGTCAGTAATGAGAAGGTCTCCACTGGGATGGAGGAAGGAGGAACAGGGAGGGGGCAAGGGTGATCAGTTTTTAAGATGAGTAATATTTCTCCAGTTTCATCTACTAAAACCTGAAAAAGTAAATCAGTAAGGTGTTTAAAATGGTATTTTTACTTAACTCATTTTTGTTTTAAGTCTCATCTTGAATTACCATTTTCTCAATTTAGGTTAAAATGCAATTGTTCGGGAGAGAAAAAGTATTTTTAGAAATTCCTTCTGAAAACCTGTTACCAAAAATTTCTCCCCGTTAACTCGGAGACGGATCTGTCCTCTCCTAGTCTCAGCCCCGCTTCTTGCACTTCGGCGTGCTTACATTAACTGCAGACCGCCAGGGGTTTGTAAATCAATCAATGGGAAGTCCATATTCATAAAATCCTCTGATCTGATTACACCTCCTCCTTTTTTTCCTCCAATCTAAAAAAGTTAAGATGGCCCAGACTGGATTCGCAGCTCAGTTTCAGTCAACGGTGGGTAGCCGGAGGCTGGGGAGCACCGGCGACGGCGGCGGGGGACTCGTGGATTAGGATGTGGATTGCAGGACAAACCTTTGTTTGGTCACATTCGCGACAGAGGATGGGGGAAGGGTTGGCCTCCTTGGAGATCGCGCGGGATTTTTATAGACTAGCCTTAAAAGGGCTCGCTGCTCCCCACAGGGTTAATTTATGGGGCTTTCGAGGAATATTGGAACTTTTAAGACAGTTTTTTTCCCCCCATTAATTTTTTGATGTTGTTACACTCCTAAAAAGGACTGGATTTCAGCACCTCGTAGGAAGAGGGTGCGGGTGGGAGAAAGCAGGCCAAGGAGCAGAGAAGGATTCACCTCTTAGTCAAACCGCCTGCAGGGCTCGGGCTTCACAGCATATTTTTCCAAATTAGATTTATAACCAAGTTGTAGACATTAAAACTGACATTTAGGAAATGGGGACAAGCATAGGCTGTATATATACACCTTTCCGCAGGTCTCCCTAAGCTGAATTCCGTATTAGGAGAATGAAGCGTTTGGGGCCTTGGGAATGTTTTAAAAATAAAATCCAAACCGAAGAATAAGCCAGAGACACCAAGGTGGAAGTAGGTGCCAGTGCATAACAGGTGGGGAGCTGGGGCTGACAGATTCCCCCACTGCGCTGCTGCGCGGCGCGGGTCTCCTGTCCCCAGGACTCGCCAAGTTCCCAGAGCCCGGGGAGGTGGGTAGTCCAGGATGGAGGCCAAGGGGGCCTGGGCTTCCTAGGGCCGACCTCAGACTCGTCAGTTTTGAACCCAGGCGGGGCAGGGGGAAGAGGGGGTGCGGAGCGATTAGTCTTCATACTAAAGATTACTTAAAGGTTTCTTTAAGCACTTTAATACACAACTAGCTCAGAAAATCATTAAGAGACCTAGAGAAGGAAAAAAAATACCCTCACACTCACCGGTAATAAGTGTTGACATGCAGCAAAAATCGATTGAGTGGAACCGAGGTGGTGGCAGTGGCGATAGCTGGAGGGGGGTGGGGGAGGCGTGGGAGCGGGAGGGGCGTGGGAGCAGACTTCTTGGGCTCGGGAACCTGGCTTCTCTGGCTCCTAGGGTAAGGAGGTACAGTCTGGCAGGCGAGCAAGATGGGAGTAGGGGAAGAAGCCGGGAGAAGGTGCAATCTTCCTTCTGGAAGTCCTGTGAAAGGAGCTGAGATGGTTGAGAAGGGCCTCTCTTTGGTCCCAAGTCTCCGCCCCAAGCCAGCGACTCTCCCGTTGGGGAAGTGACAACTCTCCCCAAACTCCTACTTCCATTTTTTTTGTTTTTTTTTCTGCAGATTGATTGATTTCCTCTAGTAGAGTTCTATTTGAGCAAACAAACTAGGCCGAGATCCACCACCTCTACCCAGAGCTTCCAAGTCACCCAGTCCGACCAGCAGGAGAAGCGAATCCTCCAGCTGGTTTAGAGATCGCTTCCAGCCAGGATCCCCAAATCCGTCTCCCTGTTCCTTTCCTCCCCTCCCCCTTCTCCTCCTCCCCGCCCCCTACCAGGCGGAGGCCAGGAGGCCCCGACCTGTGGGCCCCGAGACTCCAGCAGCCAAAGTCCGCCCGTGGGGACCGTTTTCCTCTCCACTGCTCTCAAGTGAACCACAAGGACAGCGGTGACCCTAGTCCAAAGGGCTTCTATCTGACCCCCTCCCCCCGCACACACACCGCCGCGTGATTCCGCCCCAAGTCGGAGGCACAGCTTTCAGAAGAAAGAAAGTTAATGTGCGTTAGGCACTGATCTCAAACCGAGGATATTATCTGCGATCTCCTTAAGTGGCAGCCGCCGCTCCTTGTAGAACAAAGACTCAGTGTCTGAGCTCCAAAAGCTTTAGGTAAAGTTTCAGGCAGATAAAAGCAATGTAAGCGCAAAAACACAGGTTTTCTCGGCTCCGGAGAACGACAGGTTACTTTTTTCAGCGCTCAGTTCCCTGACTTCGTGTTTGTCCTTGCACACTGGGGAGGAGGGGAGGTGACAAGAATAACAAAAGACCTCAGTACTCCCCCCTTCTCCTCCTAGCACCATGGTGATGAATTCTTGGGAAATAAGTCCTATTTGCTACAAAATCAAATTTCACTCTTTAAAAAAAATTGCTAAAAAGCACCGATAAAGGAGATCGGGTGCTTAAAGTTCTTTTAAACACTCACAACGACCTCATTCCCCGTTTAGATTCAGATGATGGGAGGGAGGGCTAGGGCTGTAATTCATCTTGATTTGCTTCATTGTCCTGCAGTTTGCAAACTATAATCCTGTATAATTTCAGGAACAAGCAGGTTTAGAATTAATGGGTCAATATTATTTAAAACAAAACACGGGGAGCATGACCTTTGCCTCAACTACATATTGCTCGACAAGACTCAGGAAACTCCACTCTAACCTCTCAACCCCTGGGCTCTTTGAGAAACTGAAGGGTTGTAGTTCTTAGAAATGGTCTTTGTTTCTTTTAATGTCTCCAAAGGATTTGGAAATAGTAATGCAATATAACATGAAGGATCTCTCTACTTAAGCCTTAAAGATAAACTCAGAGGCCTAAATATTTTGAACCGGAGGTGTTTCCTTGTAAATTTATTATAGATGTATTTGTTCTAAGAGGACTACATATAAACTGTACACGTATACATGCACACATACTTCTCCAGAACAATTCACAGGAGGTGGGGTTTTCCTTTGAATGGAGTAAACTTCAGAGTCATTCCAACCTGGTGGACTTCTAAATTTCTTTCACCTTTCTTCTTTCTTTAATATTATGTGCTAGCAATAATGGAACCCTTTGGGTTTAAGCCAAAGAAATATCTGAGGGACAAGACCAGACTTCCCAGCTTTATTCGTGGCCCCTCAGGAGTGCGCACTCTCTCTCTTTTTAGTTTCTGATGGATGGCTACAATTTATTTCTACCAAATTTAAATAAGTACTGCTGCCTTGCATGTTTAACTAGGCAGACATAGGAAACTGGTTTTTGTTCAGGGGACAGTTAATGAGCCTCCCTGGCTAGGTGACAGAGGAGGGGAGAAAGAATCCAGACCAATGTGTATGCAGTATATTTTACTCCCATGAAATAAAACACATTTTTTCATATTTGCTGAAAAGTAAAACAGTAATATTGTACGAAATGTTATACACAGGGTAGGTTGTACATGTAATTTCAGAAACATCATTGCATCCACCAGAGAAACTATTCTAAAACTGATATTCACACATTTTTATAATAATAATGTTAGAAACATACAGTGTGGCATTTAGTATATACATTCCCTTGCTCGCAAGCGAAAAATCCTAATCGCTTCTGTATAACATGCTTTATTTTAAAGCCTAACCTTTAAAACACTGTTGTGATATTACTAACAACTGCTTTTATAAAATTAATTTGACATTTCCATATATATACATCCTTTCAGTCATTTTAATGTTAACAATGCTAAACTTAAAAAATAACAAGCTTATAGTAATGTTAAAATGTCATATCCAGTCAAACATTTGTTGGCGTACGTGTCCTTGCAACTGTTGGAAATACTTTCAGTGAAAGATGTCAGACAACTGAGGACATTCCTTTGAAATCAAAGGAGCTCTCTGGAATCAGTGGTTTCCTTTTCTCCCTTTCTCTTTTGCTCTGCCTTTCTTTAGCGCGCACGACCTTCTAGCATAGTTCCCAGTCTTTCAAGGGCGAAGCTGCCCCTCCCGCACAGTCCTAGGCTCCCCGCGCTGCGGACGCGGCTCACACCGGCCGGTCCACCGCGTACTGGCAAGCGCTCAGGTTGGACGCCGGGTTCTGCACGCTGGCGTAGCCGAAGCTAGAGTGCTGCTTGGCTTTCAGTCTCAGGCTGGCCAGGCTCGAGTTACACGTGTCCCTATAAACGTACGGAGGAGTCGGCGGCGCATAAGGACAGGCGGGCGTGGGCACCGCGGAATTCAGCGATGGGCTGCTCAGGTTGTTCAAGTTATTCAGGCTATTGAGGCTGGAGCCCGGGACGCCCGTCACCGCCGAGGGCACCATGCTGGACGACATACTCATGGACGAGATGGAGTTGGGCGGGGAAAACATGCTCTGCGACGACAGGGGGTTGACGTTCATAGAGTTGAAGAAGGGAAAGCTCTTGGTGGACAGGGAGGCCGACGTGAGGCCCTTGGCGGCCCAGTTGTTGTAGGAGTAGCCTGGGTACATGTCGTCATAGGGCTGCATGAGCCCGTTGAACTGGGGCCCGAAGCCATTCTTGCACAGCTCGGCCTGCTGGTTGCGCTCTCGCTTTCTCCATTTGGCACGGCGGTTCTTGAACCAAACCTGATGGGGCGGTGGGGGTAAGGAAGCAAACAGAGGCGACATGGCGGATTAGTGAAAAGGTGATCACCGAAAGCACCTGAGGCCACCATGGGCCCGCAAGCAAGCACGCACGCACGCACACATGCACGCACACCCCTTAGCGGCGCCGCGTCTCCGCAGCGCGCACCGCCAAGCGCCCAAGCGGCGGAGGCCCCAGTCCCAGGTCTCGGTCAGGGATTGGAGGCCCAGCCGGCGTCGGCCTGTGAGCCTGGGCCGCGCCCCAAAACCCCAATCCGACGCCTGGCGGCCTGCGGGTCACTTGATCACTAACTCGGGCCCTCCTCTGGTTCCCCAAACACTTACTGTAAAATGAACGAGGGTCAGCTAGCTTCCAGCCCAACCCTTTCCCGCCCTTACAAACTTGCTCCCATTCCAAAGCTACAGCCCCAGTTAGTGGGACAAGAGGGTCTGGAAGGACACTAGAGGACCCGCTTTCCCTCCCACATGGCTCCTCCCTTCCCTCCAGTACCTCCACCGTCATCCCCCGCCCCCCACTGCAACGCGCTCCTTCCACCAAGGCCAGAACGCTACACCCTTCCTCGCCTAGAAAAAGAACCAAATAAAAAGCAGAAGACCACCTCCTTGCTGCTCGTTAAATTCCGCGAGCAAGGCGTGTTAACCCAAAAATCCAGAACGGATGGCTATGCAGCCTCCTCCTTCCTTCTCTCTGCTCTTTCTTGCCCTCCTCCCACCTTAAGGCCCCGCCGGCGAGCCTGGCCCAGCTCTGACCCGGCCCAGTGCGGTGGTTTGGTTTTGCCGGCGGCCGCCCAGGATGGTCAGCCCCCACCCGCGTCCCGTGGCCCCGCCGCAACCCCTCTCCCAATCCACAACGGGCCCGCTGGTCGCTCCAGACGGCGGCTTTTGTGTATTGGAGTGAGGCCTGGTCCGACATCCCCAAGCTGACACTAGTGATGTTTCACATTACACATCTCTGCCGGGCTCAGCCGCCTAATCCGCTTTTTGCCTTTTTTCTTTCATTCTCGATTTCCTTTTTATCCCCCTTCCTCTTTGCACCCGACTGCTATAAAAAGCACGCCTCACTCCCACTTGGCTAATCAAGCAGCCCCTGGAAGGAGGGAGACAGGGTCCTGTACCCGGACTGCAGAGGACCTGGGAGGGCTGCAGAATGGCGGGTGGGGTGAGAAGGCTGTTCTGAATTCCAGAAAACCACATATTGTGCTTTTGTTTTAATTACTTGCCATTCTTACCCTAGGCCTTCTAAACTTTGGCCAGGAGAGAGGAGTACGTGCAAGATCCGTTCCCTGATGCTCAAGAAAGACTGACCTTCGCAAAACCACGAGGTCCAGGCCGAGCGCGGGCTCGGGGGGGCAGTTAAACTAAAACCATTTCAACTCTATCCCGGCTCTTTTATCTGCAAGCATCGCCTCATCCCTGCACAAATGCCACCCAGAGAGGGTCTTCGTTCCCTCTACTTTGCGAGAGCATTTTGGTTTTTTTATTTTCCTCATTATTATTGTTATCTAATGTTTTCTTTACTCTGATGACTTTATTTTTCAAAACAAAACTCTTAAAAGAAAGCAAGAAAGGCCTTTGGATACTGTTTGGTTCTGTTTTCCGCTTCCAGAATCCTAACAAACTTGGAATTTTCCACCGACCAAGCCAGGATGTTGCTATTAAGTAATTTATCTAAGCTCATTTTTGTCAATCCATAAAGTGCAGATTTGCTACAAAGTTAAGGTAAGTTCTTTTTTCTAAAACTATAATTATAGTTAGGCGGAAGGGTGTGAGTATTGTATCAATTTTCAAAGGCTTCACCTCCTGAGAGAAGATAAATAAACCAAATTGAAGTCTTTTTTCCTCATTTTCTTTTTAAGAGACCTAGCAGAGTCATAGTTGTATATTAGTACTTTGCTTGCAGAGATTACAAATCCAGGGACAAGAGAGCATGATAGGGATCTGACGGCCAACCCCCCCTGAAAAAGCCTTCTAAGGAGCGCGAGCGAGCCGAATAGAGAAAAGGCTGGGCCAGGCCGGGCGCGAAGGTTCCTAAGTGAGGGCCAACCCTTGCGTGTCTCGGGCGGGTTTCCCTAGTTAAATGAGCACAGGTTGGAGCCTGTTCTCGGTTCCTGGCCGGGAGGGATTTTATTAGTGCTCGTCTGGCGACTGCAAGCCGGGAACACAATGCCCTTTGCAGAGGAATGCCCACGCGGCCCAGCTTGGGAGGGCGCGGGATGGCGGGACAGTGAGCGGGTGCGGCTCCCGGCGCCTGCGCCGGCCAGGCAGCTCGGCCTGGGAAGGTGGAAGCTGTAACCTTCTAACACAAGCGGCCAACAGCCTTTGCAAGGCCGCTCCCCGCCGGCGCCCCGCGGGACAGCACGACTGTCCCCATTCCCCGGGATCCTACTGGGCCTGCAGCTCCACAAAGCCCTCCCCTTAGGTTTCCCAGGAGGGGTCCTGGCTCCTACCCTGACTCGGGCTTCCGTAAGGTTGGTCCACACGGCTATTTCTTCGCGCGTGGACATGTCTGGGTAGCGGTTCCTCTGAAAAGTGGCTTCTAACTCCTGCAGCTGCTGGCTGGTGAAATGAGTCCTCTGCCGCCGTTGCCGCTTCTTCTTGGACGGGTCCTCGGCGCCCACGTCCTCATTCTTTCCCTGTTGGCTCTTGTCTTTCTCTGAAAACGAAACACAAAGATTCTGCTCAGATTGCCCACCTGCAACCCGCGAACTCCAGCTGGAGCTGGAGTCAGAGGCCGTGGAGGAGCTGGGCTGCCTGGCGCTGGAGAAGAGTGTGCGCTGCGGCGCTGCGCCCGCAGGGAGCGCTGCGTATGTGGGGTGTGCAGACGAAAGTGTGGGTGTGTGCGCCCCATCTCCTCCCCTCCCCCAGCGCCGCACGTTTTATTTACATGTTTATCTCACGGAGGCGGCAGATCACTTTTATAGCCTGTGCTTTCAAATGTATTTATCCTCCTCTGCGCAGACACACAAGTCCCCCGAGACACGAACACGCGCGCGTTTTACAGACCGTCCCCCCACCGCGCTGAAATCTTAGTTTCCCATGTGGTTTGTGAAGGCTAGGAAAAGTAGATGTTGGGATTCAAACAGACACTCAAGTTTTCCGGCTCTTCAGGAAAAAAAAAAAATGCCTTTCGAGATGAGCATTTCTGACTAGTTTCAGAAATACTTTTTTCTACAAGCGGAGCTCCTCCCGGGCTGAAAGCCAGAGGGGAGCCGGGACAGAGGTGGAGCGGCCTCTGAACGTCCTTGAATCGAGATGCTGAGACTTTTGTGAGGTCAGGGTAGGAAAGGGGACGGGGGTGCGGTGGAATTGCCCGCGCCACTGGCGCCCCACTAGCCAGGTCGGAGGAGGTAGAAATGAAAGGGACAGGGTTATTGGAATCCCGGCTGCCGGAAGTTCTGTGGCGAGCAAGCACTGCGACCACTCCCACCACGCCTCCCCCAGGAGGGGCCGACTTCCTCGGGGGTCAGACGGACCCGGCGGCGCGGGTCCGCTGCGCTGGATTGTCCGCGGGGCGGCGCGGCGCCTTACCTGCGGCCTCCGGGCTGGAGGTGTCGGAGATGGTGTGCACCTCCAGCCTGTGCTTGGAGGAGTCCAGGGAGCGGGGCTGACCGGGAGCCAGGACCGAAGCCATGGCTAATGGCTGGGGATGGTGACAGGAGGAGGAAGACGAGGAGGCGGCCGACAGCTTGGTCCCGGCTGCTCGGTGCTCCAAGTGCAGCGGGCCTTTCATGCAGTTCATGGACGAGGGAGTGCGCCGCCCTACGAGTCCCGGGCTACCGCCCCGCCGAGCCCCCGTGGTCGCCGCTGCCCGTTCTGGGTAGCGATCTAGGCGCGGAGTTTCCCCGCAGTGGCCGCGGTGGGCAGAGCCAGGGGACGCAACCCCCGCCAAGTCCTCCAGCCAAGCCGCCCCCGTCTCCTCCGGAAGGCTCAAGCGAAAGTGTCCGGCAGCCGAAAATCAGCGAGCAAACGGAGACATGAGGATGTGGGTAGGAGGGCACCGCTCCTAGAGTCTTTAGGGAGCAGGCTTCCAAGATCCAAAGCGAAACAAGAGTGGGCAAAGACCCCCTTCTTCCCTCCCTCCCTCCCCCAAATACCCCTCCAATAAGGAAAGCTAACGCCGATCGCGCTCTGCCCGCCCCCCGCGCGGCAGCCCTGACAGCAAAGTGTCAAGAGTGACAGGGACAGGTAGCTGATATTAGATCCCCTGCAGCGGAGGCAGCGGCCACAGCAGTGGCGTGGGCCTCTGAGCGCACCCTCCGCAGCGCGCACGCACACCCCCTCGGGCCGTCGAGCTGGGACCCCCTTGCCGCAGCTCAGCTCCAGGCACCCAAGCGAGCGTCGGACAAGATCTGCGGCTCCGCGCTTCCCTGTTGGCCTAACATCTTAAAACCAGAGGCGGGCTTCCTGGTGGTGAGACGTCACTCTGCAGCTGCCCTCCCCAACTCTCTCCGCCTCCACCTCCTCCCAGACCCTTCGCAGGGCGGGAGTGACGTGGCTCCACACCAATCGCGAGGCCTTGAGGAGCGGCGGAGGGACTGTCGTGTCTGCACCTATCAGGGGTGCGGGGCCGGCCTAATTCCTAGCTGTGCCCACAGGGTCTACACAGACAAGCTCCTGGGAATTCTGCCCCTGCCTGGCCAAAGGGGATCGGGCTTTTAGATGGGAGTGGAAAGTGGAGAGATGAGGGAAGACTCGAAAGAGAGGAGCAGAAAGGTCTCAGGCTGAGAGGTACAGGATCAAGAAAGCAGCCCTCTTTTTGTGACTCACTACATCCATTTTCAATCAAGAGTCCCCCCACCCCCACCCTGCCCGGTATAGAAAGGAGACATACTACCTAAAACTACAAAATTTTCAAAACATCAACAAATCACCCTTCCGACCTTAAATTTTTCCAAACGGCTTGTCAGGTGAATGCCCCGCTAATCTGAAGAAGCTTTACTTTAATTGCAAAGAAGATGGAGCTCTGAAAAGGCAGGCTAATAAATTAGAAATCGAGAAGAAAATGGACCCGTCAAAAGAAAATTACCTTGACTTTACACGAACAACTGGTTGGTAGTTCGCCCTGGATTTATACAAGAATAAAAAGTCGCCTCAAATCACGTCCTCTGTAATGCTTATTAGTCCCCAGACAGAAAACACACAATAGAATAGAAACCCTAACCCAGCGTTTTCAAAATGCTGAAAGCTTATCCATTCTACTTAACGTTGATTAAGACACATATCCTAGATCTTTCAAATTCCTTGTACACTGTATTAAGCGCGTCCTAACCGAGAGAGCCATGCTTTAAATTCGACTCTCTTGTTTACTTTATTATCAATCAGATTCAAATCCATAAAGCCTGTAGAATCAACAACCTTGAGCTAATTATATATAAAATATGCTTTAATGAATTTCCATACAATTAAGAATGTTGCCAAATAACCAATTTCAAGGATAATTTTTAACAGTCATTTTCTTTTCCTAGGGAGCTCCAGGCTGTCTTGAATGATTAAAGTACAGGCAGACAGAAGCAGTAGGGTGTGGGCTAAGCCTAGAAGAATGCCCAACTAGGCATTTATATAAAACCAAACTAAAACAAAAAAAATCACCTTTGGAGGCATCAGCTCTTTATAACACTATTCTCAGGGAAATTTAAGCTCCAAATAAAGAAATCCAACATATTCCAAAATTATTTTTGGAAGTCCTTTTGTCCGGTGGAGATGTAGTGCTCCAGCACAACCAAAGAGGAAAGAAAAAAAAAAAAAGTCCTTTTGTCCCCCAGTTTAGGTCAGTTGAAGAACACAAAGTAATCTCCCTGGGATTTTGCATTGCGATTGTTTTACTGTGGAGTTAGCGTTATCGTCCCTGAATGTGTATTTGTTTGACATTACAGTCAATGATTTGCAACGCCAGTATGAGGTATCTTCAACAAACTCCCTGCTGGTCCTCGTTCACAATATTGGGAAACTTAACTCAGTCTGGCATTGAGCAGAGGAAGCAGACTACAGATGTATTTACATTTGTCTCCCCTTTGCCCTGCCCCCCCAATCCTATCTACCATTCCTCTCCCTTTTAAAATACACTTGAGAGCAGTGCGGAGAACTCAATAAGAATTATTTTTCAGTCTCTTCCCACCGGCATCCCACTCTAAGAAGAATATGGCTACTGGAGGAACTTCCTAGTAAGCTTTAAGTCAGCATTTCTGGTTTTAACCTTTTACTCTACTTCAACCCCATTTCACGCGCGCACACACACCTGTTCCGAGCAGAACATGTTCCCATGTGACAGACCTGCATTAGCTGAGGCTCATACATCCAGCTATATTAGGTCCTGCAATCTTATCACTAAATTATACATATTACACCAGCAGCCTGTTGGTAAAGAAGGTTAAATTAATTTACATTCTGCTCATTATCTGGTGCTTAAATGACGCATTTTATCCCTGAGATTTGGCGGAGGAGCTCCTTCTCAGACCCCACAGCGTTGCACTGAAGACAATGCTCTTACATTTGTAGTGGTTTTTAATCTGATAAGACTCTAATTTGCTTAAGTCTTTTAAATAAGGGTTTTAAATGTTTCTAGCCATTTTCTTATTGAATTTCCTCTAATTCCCCCAAGATCATAAAGTATATGTGTAAAGTAAATATTTTCTCCCATTGCACTGCCAGCCGTTGACCTATAACTAAGTCAATATGAATCCAGCTCTTTTCTGCCCGATGTGTTTACTAATCATATTCCAGTTTCTTCTTTTAAACCTCAGCATAGCTGTGGGTCCCACCATACCATGCCCTGAAAGCTTCATTTCACCAATAAACTCAATCAAAGAATGAAAGCTACTCCACTGTACTGAGTATACGCTCTTCCTTGTTTCAAAGCTCTGAGCTGCAAAAATTTTCTGGAGGCTTGGGATGTTTTTCAAAACTCCTTCTGCTGGAAAGGTAAGAAACTCCAAAGAGCCATATACATTTTTAAGACCATCTCTAATAAATCCACGGACTTTGGTTTAAGCTCTGGTGGCTTTGCTCTTCACATGAACTTTCATCAGGACAAATACACACCTAGGAAGGACCTCAACCAGCCTCCAAAGTGGATGAAAACTCCAAGGGGAAGTGACAGTTCCTCATAGTGACAAAGAATGGAAGATGTTGGAAATGGGGGAATCTTCCAACTGTCAAGACATCTAAAAAGATAAAAAAGTCTTCAATTGTGTGGATCCACTGAAGTCAAGAGGAGAATAAAGAGAATGATCTGGAGAACACTGATGAAAGTAAAAGCAAAATCACCTATCACATATGTTTGCATATTTATGTATTTGCACACACATGCGCGTGTATGCACAGTTCTCCAAGTAACTAACTCAAAGTGAGTATTTTCTTTGCATTTTTTCCAGTTGGAGTCTCAACCTTCTCTTAATCTCCTAATCACTTTATACACTCCAAGCAGCCACAATTGAGTGACATTCTTCCCAAGACCAACAGGACTCACTCTATGGGTGGCAGTAAAACAACAAAATGAAAAGTCTATATGAGGGGAAAAGGAGGTGTGTGGTGGAGACCAAGAAATGCTTTTCAATGTAAACTCTGGTGGCCATGTTGGTGGTGAACAAATTTGGAGATTTCACCTACAGAGACTTGTAAACAGGCACAGGCAGTGTAGATAAGGAAGAGGTGGGAAATCAAGAAATCTTATGTTTTGTAGTGAATTCAGCTCCACTGTAACTTAGACTGGATTCCCTCATTGGCTCTAGAAATTACTGTGATTTCAGCCTTCATCATAGAAGTTGTCAATTCCGAAAAAAATCAGCGTGGCTCTGATGCATGGCCTCCTTAGGGCAAAGAAAGGAAAGGAGCCGGGTTTTGAGCTTTGGAGGCCAGGAGACATCAGGGGTCGTCTCAACTGAGTTTTCTTGCTTACTCTTTCAAAGAAAGACCCTCTAGGAGGGAAATGTGTGACACGGGGTCAGGCGTGTTCTGAGCTGGTATTTGCCACCGATTACCAGTCTTAAAGTCTTATTTAATTTCACACTCTTTAGTATTAGTTGCGTCAACTCCCTCCGGCCATCACAGGGAGAGGTTGGGCTGGGTGGCCACTTTGGGTAGTTGCCCGTCGATACCCAATCAAGAGATCACCACATTTTGGAAAGAATCTGTCCTTAGATGGCTCAATTATATGTCTCTCCGGAGCTGTCAGGCCACAGAGGGGCGGGAGTGCTGCCCAACCCAGGCCAGCTCAAGGACGTGGTCCGCCGGGACTCAGCTCGCAGCCACGTGTCGGGCGGTGAATGCGTGCGCGGGTGGTGTAAGGCGCGGAGGTCAGAGGGAGACCTTGCACCCTGCTCAAGAAGTGGCCTTTCCCCCTCTGTTTCCACTGCCTGGCTTTTCACAAACCAAGCTGGAAAGAGTACCCTTCCTCCACAGCTATGAAACTGACCCAGACATTGAAAGCTTCACTGTGGCTTGCCTTTCCCCATCCCTAAATGGGACGAAAAAGCTCTGGCTTGTTAAAGGTGGAGGATTCTTTTCTGAATTAGAAGTTCCTATTCTACTGAACAACACTCACCATCTCTGCAGATACTTGTGTTGCTCTCCCACAAGCAACATCTTGAAGTTTGGGGTGACTACTGGAGGGTACCGGTGGGAAGTCCTCCTACTCACCGCCCATTGAGAGGAAGAGACTGGGGAGGGGGGATTGTTAAAATCACTAAACCAACAAGCTAGTAATGCCTTCTCATACATTTGCATATTAGTGCTATGGGGCTACTTAATCTCTGCAAAGCAAGTATTATAATGAGCTAAGTAAAATGAAGAGAACGTATGGCATAAACGTGTGTTCGGTATATGGAGGATGAGGGAGGTTGGAGGGATGAGAATGAATGAATATGAGATTAAACATAGATATCCAGGCTTGAAGAGAAGAAAGTGGCAAGGAGCTAAATCAACTCACTTAAGACAAAACAAAACAAAACCCCAAAACTGATTGGATTAAAACGCTCCTCTCTCTCTTTTCTTCCCTCACCAGCCCTGTCTACATCCCTTTCCTATTTCTCTCACTCTTCCTTCTTTCTGTTTTCTCTCTCTCAGACATGCCGGTAGCTAACATTCAGCATTAGTTGTCATGGTGACCATAAATCACATAAATCCAAAAATACCCACCTATAATCTGAGATGAAGCTTTTATTTCCCTAGTGAAATAATATTTTAAAAGCTGTCAGCTGACACACACACAAAAAGGAACCCACCTCATTGTAGTAACCCAAGTAATATATTACTTCTAAAGGTTTAAATTAAAATGTCAGCCTGTTAAAAACATGCTGGGAGAATCTTGGGGACTCCTGTGTCAAATCCTCACAAAGAATTTGACTCTATCTCTCCTGATCGTTCTTTAACATGTACACAACCTTTTGCATATTCTCTCTCCATTAACTTCTCCCTTCCCACCCAACTTCCTTAGTCCAAGATGACCCTGTGCACCGAGTAGTAAAAGAA